CACATCATAATTCTCCAAAGCACTTGCTATTAATCACTCATTTATTATTAAAACACATTGTATTCATTCCGCCTGGCAACTGGAGCAGGGCAGGCTCTATTTATCCAGAGTACTTATCTGCAGACTTTGTCAACCTCAGCCCAGAGCAGCGTCCAGCCCTCCAGGATAGCTGAGAGCTTTGAAGAGACACCTGAATGCAGAAGGGAACACAGGACTTACAGAGGACATGGATCTCATCTGAAGGGCTATCCGGCCCTGAGAGGGCTAAGGGCTTCCAGAAACCAAGACCCTCTGTCCCCTGGTTGTCTCCTCTTACTGCTTCTCCCTTCAATTTGAAATATCTTCCCTTTAAGTGAATTCTGCTGGGCTTTTTTCTGTTCCCCGGTATCTCAATATCACCTGGGGAGCCAGGGCTGCCCCCACTTCCGGGGCTTGTATCCAGGAAGCCACGGAGTTTTGTAGTCAAATATAAGGGCTATAGGGACAAATCCCTTGCCTTCTAGCACTCATTATATGAGGGTAAATAAATAATGTAACTTCTTTGTCCCTCAGTTTTATCAGCTGTGCAAGGGGGTTGATAGTAATAGAACCTACTTCATAGAGTTGCTATTAGGATAAAATGAGTTAATTCTGACAAAGTTCCTATAAAATGCCTGAAATACGATTCCCATCAGCTCTTGTTACTACTTATTAAAACAGTCCTAGTATTTCCTAGATGTCCCCCACAACCATTTATAAGCCGGGTTATGGAGGTCCATTCATTGACTCTATAAATAGCTGTTGAGCATCCCAAATGTACTGGGTATTGTTTTAAGTACCAGAGACACATACACACAAGGCTCAGTCCCTTCTTCAAGGGGCCCATCCACTAGCAATGTAGTGTTGTCCAAAACAGTGCTCAGAGCTCTAGAGATCTGGAAGCCCCTTTTTTATCCCCCCAAAAATCTGCATTTGGTTATGCTTTCCAGTTTACACAGTCCATTTTCTGCTTACCACTACATCAAGTGCTCACCTGAAGGTAACAAACACCCTGATCATTCATCTCTCAACATCAGGTGAGTACCCAGGGTCCTTGAGGGTTCCCACCCTTTTAATGAAATATGTCAGCCTCCCAATGTACAGAGGAAAATTTAATGATTTAATAAAACATTTTATTTAAAAGATTTTAAAGGCCTTTGAATCTTTCCTTTTGCACCACCCAGTAGTAACCACCAATCTCAAATTTGGTGTTTATGATTTCCACGATTATTTTGGTTAACATTTATTACACAGCATATGCCTATAAACAATATAGTTCTGTGTACGTGTTTTCAAACTTGATATAAATGATACCACATCGTATATATCTTACCGCTTGCTTTTTCTAAGGAATGCATTTTATTATGAAAAAAGCAAACATATGCAAGCAAACAGAATAGTATAATGAACTCCTATGTATCACCTGGCTTCAACACTTGTCAGCATTCAGCCATTCTTGCTCTACCTATGCCAGCAGAATACCCTACCTCCCATCAATCAATAATTACAGCTTACCGTTCTACTTTCACATATATTTTATAAACATCTAAAGGCATCAATAATAACTGTATGCTTTTAAAAGGCAGATAGCTGTGTGTGGTGGCTCACACCTGTAATCCCAACAATTTGGGAGGCCGAGGTGGGTGGATCACTGAGGTCAGGAGTTTGAGACTAGTCTGTCTAACATGGTAAAACCCTGTCTCTACTAAATATACAAAAATTAATCAGGTGTGGTGACAGGTGACTGTAATCCCAGCTACTGGGGAGCCTGAGGAAGGAGAATCGCTTGATCCCAGAAGGCAGAGATTGCAGTGAGCCAGGATTGTGCCACTGCACTCCAGCCTGGGCTACAGAGCCAGACTCCATCTCAACAAACAAAATATAAAATATCAAAATAGAGAGTGGATGCATCATGTATCCCTATCCATATCAAGATACAGAACATTTATATCTACAGAAAATTGCCTCCTTTGCTCAAACTCCTTTTACCCTCCTGCCATCTCACACCCCAGAAAACCATCAGTTTGGCCTTCTCACCTCAGATTACATGTTCCTATTCTATAACCTCATACAAATAGAATCATATGGTATATAGCCTTCTGTGTTCCTTTTAGGGGAGGGTGTTCAGCACTGTCTCTGAGATTCACCCACATTGTTCCATGCTTAGGTAGTAAGCCATGCTAAGTAGTATCCCATTGTAGGAATATAGCCCAATTTGTTTATTCATTTTCCCATTCATGAATATTTGGGCTGCTTCCAGTTCTTAACAATTATGAATAAAATTACTATAAACATTTGCATGCAGTATTTGTTTGCATTTCTCTTAGATTAAGGAGTGGAACTGCTGGGTCAAGGGTACATATATTTTAACTTTATAAGAAATTACCAAACTGGTTTCCAAGGTGGTTGTGCTCTTTTACATTTTCTCCAGCAATGGACAGGCATTTCATTTGCTCTACATACTCCCCAACCATTGTTGTGAACTGATATTTCATTGTTCAAGACTTTTGCTTACTTTTATTAAATTGTCATTTTATTGTTGAGTTGAAAGAGTTCTTTATACATTCTGAATAGCAGCCTTGTCAGAAATATGCTTTGAAAATAATTTCTTAAGTGTGTCTATTTTATATAATAATGATATATTTTGTTGATAAGAGTTTTGTTGCTCACGCCTGTAATCCCAGCCCTTTGGGAAGCCAAGGCGGGTGGATCACGAGGTCAAGAGATCGAGACCATCCTGGTCAACATGGTGAAACCCTGTCTCTACTAAATATACAAAAAATTCGCTGGGCATGATGGCACGTGCCTGTAATCCCAGCTACTCAGGAGGCTGAGGCAGAACTGCCTGAACCCAGGAGGCAGAGGTTGCAGTGAGCCGAGATCATGCCATTGCATGCCAGCCTGGGGTAACTGATATTTCATTGTTCACGAGCGAAACTCCATCTCAAAATAAAAAGAGTTTTTGTTTTGATTTTTTTTGGGTGAGTGGTGGGGGACAGAGTCTCACTCAGTCACCCAGGGTGAAATGCTGTGGCACTATCATGACTCATCGAAGCCTCAATCTCCCAGGCTTGAGCCATGCTCCCACCTCAGCCTCCCAAGTAGATGGGACCACAGGCATGTGCCACTATGCCTGGCCAATTTTTAATGTACTTTTACATTTACAGAGATGGGGTCTCATTATGTTGCCCAGGCTGGTCTCAAATTCCTGTGCTGAAGCAATCCGCCTGCCTTAGCCTCCCAAAGTGCTAGAATTACAGGCACGAGCCACCACGTCTGGTTTGTTCTAACTTTTATGAAGTCTAATTTATCATTTGTTTTTTATTTCAGAGTTTTCAGAGTTTTGTCTTGCCTATCCTGTAAACATATTTCCCTGCTTTCCTCAAGAAGCCTTATAATTTTAGCTTCTATATTTAGAACTAGGATTCATCTTTAATTAAATGTGGTATGGTGTGAGGTCAGACATTTGTTTTTGTTTTTGTTTTTGCACACATATCCTGTTTAAGGACAATTTGTTGAAAATACTTTTCCTTTTCCTTTGAGTTACTTTGCTGCTTTTGTCAAAAATTAATTCACCATAAACATGTGTAACTATTTATGTACTCTCTGGCCTGCTGCAGTGATTGATGTGCCTGTCTTTATGCCAATATCAAACTGTCTTAATTACTGTAGCTTTATGTTAAGTCTTGAAGTCAAGTAGTTTAAGTTCTTCAGCTTTCTTTTTCAAGATTGTTTAGGCTATTCTAGGTCATGTGCATTTCCATATAAATTTTAGGATTATTTTATCTATTTCTATTTTTAAAAAGCCTTATGGAGTTATGATTTGAATCATGTTGAACTATGGATGACTGTGGGAAGATTTGACATCCTAACAATGTTGAATTTTCCAACCCACAAATATAGCATATCTCTGCATTTATTTAGGTCTTCTTTAACTTTTCTCAACAATATTTTGTAGTTTTCAATATAAAGGATTTACATATCTTTTGTTAAATTTAAAATCAAATATTTTATATTTTTATAAAATTGTGAATACATTTTTAATTTTAGTTTCTGTTGTTTTCTGCCAAGATGTAGAAATACAACTGATTTTCTTTATGCATCTTATAGTCTGAGATACTGTTAAGTTTATGTAAATAGTTCTTCGTTCATTCCTCAGGCTTTTCTTATAAAATTGTATACTATCTGTGAATTTGAATTAATTAAATAGAACTTCTGTTTACAGAAATAAATTCTTCCTTTTGAGTCTTTATGCTTTTAGTTTCCCTTGCATTATTGAACAGGCTAGAGCCTTCATACAATATTGAAGAGAAGATTCAACATTCTGACCTTCTTTTTCTAATGTTAGGGGAAAAGCATTCAGGACTTCCCCATCAAGTATTAACAATAGACTCTTGTACTGCTGTCTATCAGATTAAGGATTCTAGTTTGCTAGAGGATGACTATTCTAATTTGCTGAGAATTACTGTCATCAATGAGTGCTAGATATTGTTAAATGCCTTTTTTCCGGCCGGGCGCGGTGGCTCAAGCCTGTAATCCCAGCACTTTGGGAGCCCGAGGCAGGTGGATCACGAGGTCAAGATATCGAGACCATCATGGTCAACATGGTGAAACCCCGTCTCTACTAAAAATACAAAAAATTAGGTGGGCATGGTGGCGCGTGCCTGTAATCCCAGCTACTCAGGAGGCTGAGACAGGAGAATTGCTTGAACCCAGAAGGCGGAGGTTGCGGTGAGCTGAGATCGCGCCATTGCACTCCAGCCTGAGTAACAAGAGTGAAACTCCGTCTCAAAAAAAAAAAAAAAAGCCTTTTTTCCATTTATTAGGATGATCATATACATTTTTTGCTTTAATATATTAATTGCAAATATTACATTGACAAGTTTTTAAATGTTGAACCAAACTTGTGTTCCTGAGATAAACTTCAATTGATCGTGATAGAGTATTCTTTTTATATATTTCTGAAAAATTTTTTGTTACAGATCCTTGCATCTATGTTAATGAAGAATATTTCTTCTCCTGTAATGTCTCTGTCATGGTTTAATATCAAGGATCAACTCATAAAATGGTAAGATGTTAAAACATATTTTTTCCTCCCCTATTTTCTTGAAGACGTTGTGAAAGATGGTACTACTTCTTCCTTAAATGTTTGCTAGAATTCACCTGTGAAGCCACTGGGACCACGAGTTTGTTGAAATGTTTCCATTTAAAAATTCTATTTTTTTCATAGGTATAGTAATTAATTTCTATATCATCTTGTGTTGGTTTTGGTTTTCTAAGCAGTTGGTAAGTCGACTTTCTCAAGGCCTTTGCTCATTTCTTCTGAACTGTAGCATTTTCTTGCATGATGTTTCTTGTGATATTTTCTTTTTATCATTTTAACATCTGTAGGATTTATAATAATATTCTTTCCTTAATTCATGTTATTATATTACAATAACTTGTGTTTTTCCTCTTTTTGTGTTTTGGCCTAGCTAGAAGTTTATCAAATGTATTAATCTTTTTAAGAGCAATTTCTGGATTTCTTGTTTCTCTATTTTTAACTTTTTAAAATTTCTGCTGTTATCTTTATTATTTCCTTTCATCTACCTACTTTACATTTAATTCCCTTATTTTTGTTTTTGTTTTTTATTGGTAGAAACTTAGATCATTAATTTATACCTTTCTTCCTAATATAAGCACTCAAACTTAACATTGGTTTCCTCTAAGCACTGAATTAGCTTCATCCCTTGCTTATTTATTTGTATATTAGTTAATAATTACAAAAAATAATGACAGTTATGAAAATAAAATAATAAACACTAAAATATTCTTTGTACAGATTCATCTTTGTTAACATTTCTTGACATTTCCAAGTTCTCTCTTGCTTGTTCGTACTATATATACGTGTGGGTGTGTTTTCTGAAACATTGGAAGGTAAGTTATGTATATTGTAGACCTTTATCACTAAATAATTCAGCATGTATTCCAAGAGGAGGAGTACTTTCTTACATAAGCACTGCAATTACTAAATTCATACATTTACATTTATGTTATATTTTAGTGCATCATCCATATTCTCATTTTGTCATTTAACCAAATAATGCCTTTTATAATATTCTTTTCTCCTGTAGTGCAGAAACCTGTCTAGTTGTCAAGTTTCTTTAGCCTTAGGTAATCTAGAATGTTTTTACGGTCTTTCCTTATCATTTAGGGCAATAACATTTTTGAAAAATACAGCCCTTCTACCATTTAATAGAAAGTAATTCATTTTGAGTTGTGTAATGTTTCCTTGTGATTAGGTTTAGGTCATACGCTATCTTAGGATTTCACATTTGGAGATACACAATGTCCATTTTCCCTCATTGGTGATGTTAATTTGATCATTTATTCAAAATGTTGCCAATTTCTTGAGAATATATTTATTCTTTATTTAACTGACAATTCGTATATGAGAGACACTTAAAATTATGCAAGTATCTTTCTCTCATCAAAATACGCCTCCCTAGATTTAGTACCCATTGATAATTCTTGCCCATTTTTACTATGATGATTACAAAATGACAATTTTTAATTAGTTATAATAATGTAATTATTAACTAATATCCAAATAAATAAGCAAGCTCCAACACTCCTTCCATATTGACTAGTTAGCCCTTAACACTCTAATGCCAGCAAGAAGCCTCCCTTCTCCTGTATGTCTGCATATATGTTTGTATTTATGTATGCTATTTAACCTATCTATCTATCATCTATCTATCTATCTATCTAACTATATATTGAATATATCTGTCTGTCTACCTAATGAATCTATTATGGGTATTAATTCATGCATTTCTATTTTTCCATGATTTGTCATTCATTACTATCCTTAATCACTTGGTGTTCAAATTTTTAGAAATTTGGTCAGTGAGAACTGCTTAAAGCTAGCTCCTGTGTCCCTGTAACATCCTCCCACCATTTTTTAAAGCACTTGCTTATTTTCTTGCATAGAAAAATATTCCAGGTTTATCTTTTACCCCGGTTCCAGCCCTGGAATCTGAAAAGCCCTAGCCTAGTTTCTTTAATTGAGAAACAGTAGTAAAGACAAAATTATGGGTACTATTTATACTTATTATTCCTGGAGTATATTTGCTTCTTGGCCCTTTAGCAAACAGAGTTAAGAAATACATGCATGAACATATATATGTACATGCATATTTACATAAAGACACATAGCACAAACCTGGATATGCATACATGCGTGCACATACATGTTCACATAAACATGTATATACACATACACATATACATATTTAGAGATATTCCCAGTTCCAATCCATCCTCCATAGAATAATTTTGTGACTTCTCCTGTCCCATATTGTTTGTATACCTTCTTTCACAGTGAGAACATTGACCCTCAATATCATCAACATATCTCCTCTTTTGGCTGGGCACAGCGGCTCACAGGTGTAATCCCAGCACTTTGGAAGGCCAAGGTGGGCAGACCACTTGAGTCCAAGAGTTTGAGACCAGCCTGGAAAACATGGCAAAACCCAATCTCAACTAGAAATAAAAAATAAAAAATTAGATAGGCGTGGTGGTGCTTGCCTGCAGTCCCAGCTACTTGGGTTGCTGAGGTGAAAAGATCAGTTGAGCCCAGGAGGTGGAGGCTGCAATGAGCTTTGATCATGCCACTGTACTCCAGCATGGGTGACAGAGTGAAATCCTGTATCAAACCAAACAAAGCCAAACAAAACCATTTAATCTTTTTATCAGTTCTACAGTATTTATAAAATACATTCAGAATTACTTCATTCAAACACTACGACAGGCAAACCTACTCAAAGGAATTTATCAATGACTCTCAATTCTCCCCCATCACAATTCCAATCTGACCAAAACTAAAGGTAGTCAGAAGTTGTGTTCATAAGGTACTTGAAATAGTTTGTTCTTTATTCCCTTTCAGCTAGTTATGATATTAATTTGAAATACAATTAGATTCATTTGTCAGTTTGCTTTCAGTTTTAGGGTTCTCTCTTTTGCATTTTTTGGCTTTAATTTAATTTAGGGGTTATAATGACATTTTATTATTAGCATGCCTCCAAAAGTCAAACATTTAAAAATACATAACTAGAAAAGTGTCACTCCTTCTTGTACTTTACTTTTCCATCCCACTTCGACTCACATCTTATAGGCATCCAGTTTCATTATTTTCTAGTTTACCCTTCTTGTGTTCATTATGTAAAGATAACAGATGTGTAGATGTTTCCTTACCCTTTTCTTATACATATGCTCCTTTGTACTTTGATTTTTTCACTTAAAAATATCTCTTTGAAATCATTTTATATTAGTTCACTCTATTAAGTGAATTTGCCAGAGTTTATTCAATAAAACTGCTTTGCTGAAACTTTCGGGCAGATTCCAATTTTTTGAAATTTCAAATAATGCTACAATAAATATCCTGTTCATGCATATTTTATATAGTTGTAGGTATTCCTAGAAGTGGCTCTCACAAATTGTGATATGATAAATTGTCTTTATCATTTCAATTGAAATATTTTGTCATTTTTCCTTGTGATTTCTTATTTGACCTATATATTATTTAGAGATATATAGTTTAATTTCAAAATGGTAATTTTTATTGGTTTCAAATGTAATTATGCCACTGTCATATAACTTACCCTATAAGATTTCAAACTTTTGAAGTGTACTATGACTAAAGGCATTTATGTTATAGGGTGTATCTTGGTGAACACTCCATTTACAATTGAAAAGATTGTGCTTTTTGCAGTTATTGGGTTTAGTGTTCTATAAGTGTCACTTAGGTCAAAGCAGTTTATTGTGTCATTCATATATTTCATACCATTGCTGATTCTTTGTGTAATTATTTTATCACTAAGAAGAGTGTTAAAATCAACTATAATAGCAGATATATCTATTTCTATTTTAGCTCTGTTACTTTTTTCTTCATTATATTTTGAAACTCTGTTAAGTGTATATCCATTTACAATTGTTATGGCTTACTGACTTATCAACCATTAAATAGAATATATCAAAAAATATGCAATTTTTCTTAACCTTAATACTCTTAATCTTGAAATTTATTTTGTCCGATGTTATTTTAGCCCCTATACTTGGTTACAGTTAGTATTTGCATGGAATATCTTTCTTATCTTTTTACTTTCAACCTATTTTGTCTATTTTTAATCTGTATGTTAACCTATGAAAATGGGTTTCTTGTGAGCAACATGTAGTTAGTTTTTTTATTTTTTCTGGCAACTTCTACAACTTATTATTTTGTTTTCTGTTTGACTCTGTTTTTTGAGGATTATGCATGTTGACAATATGTATAGCTCTAGTTCATTCATTATCACTGCTCTGTAATATACTATGTCACGAATATACCAAAATCTAGTTTTTCATTCTGCTTTTGATTGCCACTTAGGTTGTTTATGATTTTTTATATGTACAAACAATGCCAAAAATATACAGTCCTGTGCATGTCTCCTACGGACATGTATGCTCCAAGGCAAAGGTAAGGGAACAATTTCTAGATCTTAGACTATGAGAATCATCTATCTTCACCATAAAACTATTCACTTGCATGAGTACAAAAACAATGTACTTTTGCTAGTTTACACTTTGATCAAGCATGAATGAGCATTTCTGTTGATCAGCATCCTTTCCAACACGTGGTAACATTACAAACACCCAAACACATCCCCACCACATGTACTATCTGATAGTTTTAAACGGACTCTCACTGCTATATAAATCTACATCTTTCATATGTATATTGGTCATTAAGCCTTCCTCAAGACTTGCTCATTCATATACTCTACTCTCATTTTTTTAGCTGAGAAATCAAAATGTGGAGGCATGATTTGCCCAAGATCACACAGCAGTCATCGATTAGACGTAAGTCCAGGTATCATAACTCTGAAAATAATTTTTTCTCTCCTTATCAATCTATCCATCCATCCATCCTAATACTATATACAGTTTATGACTAGGGGTGTATATGTGTGTGGGGGTCTGTGCATGTGAGGGAGAGAGATGAGATAGTATGAGATAATATTTCTAAAATTTATTATTTTGGCTTGAGGTTTTCAGATCCAGTTCTGATAAATAGAACATTCAAGACAAATCACCTCCAATATACCCCTTCCCTCCAATCCTTTTCTCGAGTAAAATAGAAAGAAAATCAATAACAACCTTAAGGACATGTCCTCAGAAGACAGTCCCCAATCTTGCTTATCTTATAGAATGGACTTAAAGGCTGAACAAAAAAACGTGGGCATCAAGTCAGCCCCAGCAACCACGTTTTTCTCTCTTTCTGGCATACTTTCTAAGGCATTTCCCAGATTAGGATGGGGACCCAGGGCAGTGGCCCAATTCCTATCCAGGAACAACTCTGGGAAGTCTGCCTTCTGTGACTGCCACAGGAAACCTGGCTCCTCCTGGCCCTCTCCCTGCCCCTGGCTCTCCTGGCCTTGCTGCTGCCACTGCCTCAGGAATGATCATTAGCCTGGGTTTAGCAGCTGTGCCAGCAGCAGGCAGGACAAAGTCCTGATGCCCTGGGCTGTAGCTGCAGAGAGCTGGCTGGGAAGGGAGGGCTCAGCTGCCCATGTGCCAGGCATATGTCAAATCCAATTTGGGAGAGGATCTTGTTAAGCCTCCTTATCAGATAACACATCCTCCTTTAAAAAAATCATCAGTTAGGAAGGCTTTGCAATACCTACCAAACACCCATGCTGAGGTCTGATAATGTTTTCTGTCAAGAATAGATTCTTTATATCCCATCAGTCCCTGGGTTCAAGGGAATTTGATTAGTCAGACAAGGCTTACCTATAAGCCTTGCTGGCCCTAATCAGTCTCTGCCCTTCAAAAGCTTTGTGACTCACTCTTTGTGACGATATAGTCCAGCATCTTCACCAGTAAAGAGCATAGGGCTCTTTTTGTTTCCATCCTGTTACCCTTTCAAAATTATGGGCACCAGCCAGGCATGGTTGCTCACGCCTATAATCCCAGCACTTTGGGAGGCCAACCTGGGTGGATCACTTGAGGTCAGGAGTTCGAAACCAAACTGGCAAACATGGTGAAACCCAGTCTCTACTAAAAACACAAAAAAACTTAGCTGGGCATGGTGGCAGGTGGCTATAGTCCCAGCTACTCAGGAGACTGAGGCAGGAGGATTGCTTGAACCCCAGAGGCGGAGGCTGCAGTGAGTGGAGATGATGCCACTGCACTCCAGCCTGAGTGACAGAGTGAGACTCCATCTCAAAAAAAAAAAATATATATATATATACACACACACACACACACACACACACACCCAAAATGACAAAACAGATTGTGAGTCTGTGGCAAAACTGTACCTTTATACATTGCTCATTGACAGCATAAGTTGTTCTAACCCTTTTGAAAGTCAAAACTCAAAAGTATATGCACTCTGACATTCTACTCATGGGGTTTTCCAAACAGGAGAGTGGAACTAAAATTTATTGCCTATCTATCCTGAGCTAGGCACGTTATTCTGCTGCTAATTCTGCAGGTCAAGCCTTGACACTTATCATTCCCATTTTATTGATGAGGAAATTAGAACAATGGCTAAGTGACTTATCTGATATGGTACCATTATTATGAGGGAGAATCTGCATTCAAACGCAGTCTGATTCCAATCCCCTGTTTCTTCTACAAACACTGCCTTGGGAGGATTGCTGTGGATGAACATCTTCATTGCACCATTATTTCTAATAGCAAAAGCTGAGAAAAGCAAAGTAGCTCATAAGAGAAGAATGTTCTAGTAAATTATGAGAAATCAACCCAATGGATTATTTTGCCATCTTATAAATGAAAATTTTAAAGATTATTTAGTGATATTGGGAAAATCACATCATATAACATTAAGTCAAGATAATAGAATACAAAATTATTTCTATATAATGATTATAACTATATTAAAATGCATATCCATATGGAAAAAATGCTCATGGGAACTTGGAATATAAAAGACCTTTTTAAAAAGGTATTAGTAACTAAAAGTGATTTTCAGAAATAGTCGTTAGTGTTACAAAGTTGTATTTGAAGAAATTCACTAGTCTTAGTGGAAAGAATAATATATTCAGAATAGAAACCAAAATCTGAACGCTATCTCTTCCATATTTTAAATGTATGAAACTGAGCAACTTACATATAATCTCTGAGCCTCAGTCTTTTTCATTTGTAAAACAGTGATAATATTAACCTCATAGGGTCATAGGGCAAGTTAAATGCATTAGAATGCCAACACATGCTGAACTCATCATAATAAAGTTAATAACAAAAAGACATCCCTGATAAGTTTATTAAATAAATAAATAAATAAAAATGATGGTCCTTTGCAAGCTTCCACCACCTCCAAACTTTTCTGTGGATTTTCAGTTGCAAGACAGGCCAAAAAAAAAAAAAGCAAAATTTCAGCTCACACACATAAGCATGTTTATCACAGGGCAGCCAAGGGAGGTGGCTAAGTAAGAGCAACTCAGTCCTTGATCACATAATTCTTAGCCGAAACCAGCCACAGATCAAATGCTTCACCAACATGGAATGCATTATACATTAATCCCTAGGCTCTGCAGTGAAACCAACCCTTCCTTGGTCCTCGAGCATTTACAAGATAAGGCCTTGTTACAGGCTGGGTAACAAGATGCTCCCTGAAGCCTCTTAGGATGAAAGTTCTCACTCCATAAGACTTTGTAAGCTTGTGTCTGTGGGATGTTGTGGGATGATTTCTCCAGCTTCAATATTGCTAAGAGTACAGGATACACACAATAGGATGGAACCTATTAATATTACTATGTGGTCTTATGGCTGAGCAGCTGTGCTCACCAGGCTTGGGTTGCTCTCAGTCATGTCCTTATTTCCCAAATCAAGAGTAGGGTCAAGTAGATTGGGGAGTGAGAAACCGTGGAAGGCATCAGACATGAAACACCTTCACTGGGGGCTAAGTAAGCACTGATGGGTTTTGAGTAACCAACAGTAGCATGATCACAGTATCTTGACTGTGGAATCTTCACCTGGGCTGTGTGCACAAACCCGACGTGACCAATGGACGATGATCCTTTGGTTGGAGTAAGCAGTCTGCAACTCTAAGAAGAGGAGCTCTCTGCTTCTAGCCATGCCTGAAAAGAGGGGCAAAGAAAGCTGGAGGAGTAGGGTGGAGAAAGAATAATATTATTGAGATTTACTAAGTATCAAGTATATGCCAAGAATAAAATGAGTCACACCTGTAATCCCAGAACTTTGGGAGGCCAAGGCAGGAAGATTGCTTGAGCTCAGGGGTTTGAGACCAGCCTGGGCATCATGGCAAGACCTTGTCTCTACTAGAAATCAAAGACTGGCTGGGTATGGTCGTGCACACCTATATCCTAGTTACTTAGGAGGCTGAGGTGGGAGGATCACTTGAGCCCAGGAAATCATAGTTGTGGTGAGCTATGATTGCACTACTGTACTCCAGCCTGTGGCAATATAACAAGACTCTGTCTTGAGAAAAAAAAAAAAAAAAAAGAAGATAATGAAAATTAAGCCAGGCACGGTGACTCATGCCTATAATTTCAATGCTTTGGGGGATCAAGCAGGAGGATCACTTGAGCTCAAGAGTTCAAGACCAGCCTGAGCAACAAAGTGAGAACCTGTCTGTGTATATATATATGTGTGTGTGTATATATATATATATAATAGCTGGATGCAGTGGTGTGTACCTGTAGTCCCAATTACTTGGGAGGTTGAGGCAAGAGAATCACTTAAGCCCAGGAGTTCAAGGCTGCAGTGAGCTATGAGTAGGCCACTGCCCTCCAGCCTGGGAAACAAAGAGAGACCCTGTCTCTGAAAAAACAAAAAGCTTGCTGATGTAGTACTCACCTCCTGCTAGAAAGATACAGATATCCCCATCATTTAGAAGATGAAGAGCTTGAGGCACCAGATTTGCATTTAGTCATCCATCATCTATTCATTGAGCACTTACTATAGTCTAGAAACTATGCTTCAGAGGGGACAGGAAAGATTATCACAAGGTGAAATTTCTCATCCAGTGCCAAGCATGTTCATGAGGCTCCTCAGAACACACTATTCCCTGAAGTAGATGCTCTTAGATCAAGAAGAAATTAGTGCAGTTGTCCAAGCTAGCTAGTCCTTCCTGCCTGCACCTAGTTGAATGGAAAAAACCTGAACAGGATTAGAGAAAGTCCTTTAAATGGTTCAACTTTAAGCAGTCCCTTAGCACATCTCTTGGCTCATAGCAAAGGAAGGCACAGCTGGCATTCATCAATTGGGAAGACAGCATGTTCTGCCCCACAGTCTAAACCCAGGCAGGTGGCTCTGGAAAGGTCTGTGAGAGAGAGACTTCTGCATGGCCTGGCCCTTTTCCCATCAAGTAGGAAGAACGTAAGATTTGAAGCAAGAAAAAGAAAAAAAAAATAAAAATACCCGATTGAACCTAACTCCACCACATGCTTGCTGTTGTTTTTGGCAACATTTCTAACTTCTTAGATCCTCATCTGCAGAAAGGATTTTTGTGGGGAGCTAAAATCAAGTCAGGGATGTACAATTTGCCCAAAACCTGGTGCCTAGCATCGTTCTTTCTCCCAGAATAATGTTTCTGTGTTGAAAACAGTGAGGGTTAAGTGTTATCCTGAGAAGTGAGTGGCAGGTTCAGCCTGTGATGCAAAGAATGGAGGCACAGACACAGCCAGCATTATTCCTCAGAGCTCATGGAGAAATCGCCTGGAGCCACCAAGAGCTGTGGGTAAGAGGAGGCAGACACAAGGTCAGGAGGCAGAGCAATCAGTTAAGACAATGAAGTCCAGCAGGTGCCAGGGCAATTTGATAATTCCATCCAGCTCTGATTATATAGCCCAGGGCCGTGTCTAATGAGCACCTTGTGATTACTGTCTTGCAGAATTGGGTACCTAGAGATTTCAGGGAACCACTTAGAACAGAGAAACAACTTTCCCTCCTCCGTTGATCATTTCACTGACCAGTAACCTTCAGGGTCAACACATTAGTTAGAGCCAACTCCGTTTTGCTTTTGTTTCAGCCCTCATCTCATTTAATTCTCTTGGGACATGGAAAACAACTGCGTGCTTCATCACCCCATTGCACACCCTGACTATCCAAGCGGATAGCACAGTCATGTGCTACATTAGCCAATCAACCTGTCAACAATTAGAGCATATATCCATGTTTAAGGAGCTCTGGAAATCTGAATCGCAGTGCACCAGAACTGATGTTTTCCAATCATCCATTCAGTGTTGGAATCTCCTCAATGTTGCCCATAACAAGCAGTCACTCAACCCCTGCTTGAATTCTTCCTGGGACTGGAGGCTGCCTACTACCCAAATAAATTATTTCACATAGACCTTAGTGCTGAGTATCAAGTACAGTGGATTCTCAATAGATGTTGAAGAGATGAAGGCTATTAATTGATGGCTTTAATTGTTTTTCAATCATTCATCAATCCATTTGTTAGCACTCCTTCTCTTCTTCACTTCTGGTCTCATGTGGCTTGGAGCTGCTCAAATATTTGCAAGTGTAACCAAGCTGAAAATTTTTAATTCCTCCAAATAGTCCTCCTATGGCTTTGTTCCTGGACCCTGTCCTATCCTGTTTCCCTGTTCTGGATAATGTTTCTTGCAGGATGTGGCACTTAAAATTTAACAAGTTGAAAACACCGTATTTCAGCTGTAACTTGACCAACACTCCTGTTATTCAGGTATCTATGCTTTTACCCATGTAGCACAAATAGTATATATAATTACATAAGTGAAAATGTGTTCCAAACACATATAACAATTTTGACAGCAGCTAATGGGGAGGAGGCTCATGGGATTCACTCCTTACGGGTTTTGAAGCCCCAAACTAGAGATAGACCCAGAGGAAGGCACGAAGAAAGGGAAAGTATATGTTACCAAACATGAAACAGCATGAGATTAACACCCAAACTGCTTGGTGTAAGACAGTGTTGAGAGTATAGACAACTCTTGACAAAGTCACAGAGAAAGCTGTTTGACCTGCAGTTACTGGGGCTCCCTTTCTTGAGCACCTTCTTCCTTCCTGATTCAGCTGGCAAGGTGGACTGACCACGATTAGAACTGCACTGACCTGGGTTTGAATCCTTGTTTTATGCCTTTCTCTCTCTAGGCCTCTTTTTAAATTATTTAAATAATGGGGACAATGTGTCCCTCCTCAAGTGGCTATTAAGGATGGTAATGGATAGAACCTATCACAGGGCTGGGAATTCACTTAGTATCAGTTGTCACTGTTTCCCACATGAGTCTCCATTTTCATTAGAAAACTCTGCTCTGAGTAAAGGTGTTATGTCAGTGATTTACCCTTCAGTGTGGGCCAGTAAGGTGGTATGATTCCTGCTGGATTATGTCTGCTAGGGTGTTAAAGAAATCTTACATTCTAGTCAGGGGGTGGCAGTGAGGTTGGTGATGGCATTTTCTTTCATCTCTTACCAATCAGCTTTCATGAAGTCTCTGAAAAAACTTCTGCCTGCTCTGTCTCTCCCTAGACCACCTGTCTTTCTCCCTAGGGGTGAGATTTAAAAGATGCCACCCACAAGCTTGTGATTGTTGTATGTTTTACCTATAGGGCAGCATTTTCCCATGGCATGATTCTGATAGGAATCTTGGACCTCTAGTCAGTAATAAGAATTCCTGATTTACTAAGTCAATGTCAAGAGACTCCAATACCTTTTGCAAGTGTGTGGGGGGCCAGGAGGGGGTATGATATGTGTGTGGGTGGGTGGGTGTGTACCAAGTGTATGCAATGTGAACCAGTCATTGGGTCAATGTGTTCATGGAAATAAGTATGTGTAGTGTGTAGTATGTAGTATGTGTATGTGTGTGTGTGGAGCATGCATATGATATGTTCTGGCAGGCACGTGTGTGTGTGCGTGTGTGTGTGGTGTATGCATATACTATGATCTGGCAGAGAATATGCATCTGGAAATATGTATCATAGCTTTGTGTATATGGAAAATGTGGACACACACAGGATACTGTGTCAGACTTCGTTGTTTTCTCTAGATTCATCCCTTCACCATTTCATCAGGGCTTTTAATTCATTTAGCCAATAGTCTTTATAGAACATTGATTATGGGCTACACAGTATACTTGGATAGAGGAAAGATGAATAAGGTCTTATCTCTGGTGGAAGAAAGAGATATAAACAGACAAATTACAGAACAGCCCAGTTTGTGTGAACCACATGTATAAGTGAGTACAGCCAGAGCACAGGGAGGGCAGTGAGCATTCAGAGAACTCACAGAGGAAATGGTAAATGGTTGGGGTTTTGACAGATGAACAGGGAATTTCCCCAGTGTGGAAATGGAAGAAGGACATTTGAAACAGGGAGAATAGCCTGTGAAAGACTGAGAGTCATGAATGGGCACCTTATTTTGAGGGAAACTTTAGTACCTGAAGCATCGGTCTCATGGGATGTGGTATCAGGAGAAGTAACCTAGGAAACCTGAAGTCCAGGCTAGGAAGGGCTTTAGCTAAGCAGCTTTAGTTAAAGAGATGTAAATGCAATCATCCTGAAAGAAGATGCTGAGGTCCTGGGCTCAGACCATAGCTGTGGGGGTGGTGAGGAGAAAGGCTAGATTGAAGATAGGTATCTTAGATACAATTGGAAGGACTGGTGATAGATTATTTTGGGGTGGGCCCTTCACAAGGAAGGAAGAGTTGAGGATGATTCCAAGGTTTCTGGTTTGGAAGATCCACTGGATAATGTCATCACTAACTAAGATTGAGAACAGAGGAGGAGGAGCAGATTCCAAAGGAGATTAGATAAATCACAGCAAGGGGTGAATCTCTGAGTCAGCTTCAAGGACATTACACTATCCAGGCCTCAGAATGAAAATCAGCTCCGCAGTGCCATTGAAGGCCATTCTCTAGTGCAATTTCTTAGCCAGGACCTTGGAGAATTCCTGTAAGGCTTCACAGCTGTTCTTCTGGCTGCAGGCTGGGGGTCTCCTGGGTCATTTTTGTGTGTCATGGTGGTTAAATACAGTGATTAAGAGCATAACCCTTGGATCAGGCAGTGATGGGATCAAATCTTCCACTACCAGAAGTGGACTGTATAATCTTAGAAAGTTTACTTAATTTGTCTAAGTCTCTGTTTTCCTATCTATAAAGTGAATATACTAATTGTATATACCTCGCAGAGTTACCAGTGGAATCAATGAGCCAATGTATGTAAGAGGCTCAGAATGGCATCTCACACATAGTAAGAATCCGCAAAAGAACAGTGCTATTGTTAATAGTTTGCTTTTTCTTTTTCTTTTTCTTAATTTTCTTTTGCGTGTATATGATGGGAGTAGGAGTGGGGGAGACTGTTGATCAGAGAAGGAAACAAAGACCAATCTTCTACAATTCCCCACACCTCCACTTCTTTCCACTAAAGTTGATGCAATGCAGTCACCATGCACTGCCCGTTAGACATATAGACCAGCCAGGCTCTTGGCTGCTGTCAGCAGGATATGCATCTGGTCCCTTTCCCGATGTGGGATGGATTTGTGATGATTGTTTTGTGATCTATGACCAGGTCCCCTGTTTTGCAGCAAAGGCTGGGCAGGGTGAGGAAATACAGCAAGATTATCTGACCCTCTTGGCCACTGTGCTCCAGCCAGCTGGGACACTCCTCTGCAAACACAGGAGGTGGGTGTGTTCTTACATCTCTGCAGGTCTCTTGTGAGATGTCCAGATTGTTTGGCTCCAATCCAGGGAATGGGTGCTCTAAGGTCATGCTGTCCAAGCCTGAATTTCTGGAGCTGCTTCAAGTGGCCTTGAGCATGGACAGGAATCAGTCCTGTCCCAGCTGTGTTCACTCTGACAACAGTCAGATGATCTTTCATGGGGATTGTATTACACAGACGTTTTCTCTTGCCCATTCCACAATCTCCATGTTGGAGGCCAGGGAAGTGTGGCAGGAGAGAGTTTAGCTTGGGAACAGAATATGTTCATCCTGTAAGCTATCTCCATCCTCTTACCCAGTTGTGGCTACTCAATGGAGCTGATAGAATTCTTTCTGGGCTAGTATTACAAAGGAAGCAAGTTTTAATCACAGGGTTGAAGAAAGGGAAGAGTAGTGAAGAGAACATAGTAGAAGGGTTATGGGCTTTGGAGTCAAATGACATTGATTTGAGTCCCAGTTCTGCCATTTATTGTATGAGCTTGCCATGCTACCTAACTCTCCCAAGCCTCTGTTTCCTTATGTGAAAATGGGGAAAACAAGATCTCTTCTACAAATTATTATTGTATAAAGTGAGACAGCATAAATAAAAACACTGCTTTGTTAGCCTAATTTTTTATACAACACATATACAGTTTGATGTCTATTTTTACCTGTCAAATACATTATGGTCCCAGGTTAATGCTTAGAGAATCTTTTTACCTCTTATTTTGTGTGCATACAAAGCCAGCATCCATAACTCCATCTCCTCATGCCTAAATATGACTCATTCTTCAAAGCCCAGCTCTAAAGTCAATTGCTCTATGAGCTTCCCTCCCTCTACACACACACACAAACACTCCTGGAAGAGACCACTCCTCCTCTCTATGAATTCCCACAGCAATTTATCAGTTCACTCCTTCCGCTGATTCATATTTTCTACCTTGCATTACAACTGTGGACTACAAGCTCCTGTCCAGCCACAGTTCCCGTCCATCATGATTGTAAGCTTTGAGGATGGGATTTGTGGACAGTTCGTTTTGAAGTCCCCCTGGTGCCTGACATAGGGTGAGCACTAAGATATAGTAGCCACCGAATAGACAAATTAACATCCAAAGCCTTGGTTGCCAGAACTCCACATTACGCCTGTTTTTCTCTCTTCTCAAGATTCAGCTCAGAACAGGAGGCAGCCTCACTTCTGCCTCACACAATTTCCTGTGTACCCCTGCCCTCAAAGCAATTGCACTTTTTGTCATGAGGTTTCTTGAGCTCCATGCTCCCATTCAAGTACTTACTAACCAGGTTTGACCCTGCTTAGCTTCCAAGATCACACAAGCTCTGGCACATTGAGGGTGGTCTGGCTGGAGATCTGAGCTCCTTTCTGATGATAATGATGGGAGCAGGAGATAACAAAGTCATAGGAACATGCAGTACCCAACTACCTACTAGCGGTTTCACTTGGTGTCCCACGAGAGCTATCAATTCAATACATCTAAAACTGAACTCCTCAGCCATCCTGTCTCTGCCTCTCTCCAGTGCCCACTGCTCCTCCTGCTTTTTTCCCAGCTCAGTGGAAATCTGACACAGTATGGAATGTGTCTGTGCACACCCATGTGGCTTATTTAGATGAAATATTGGACTTAGAGTTGATATTGGAAGGGTTAAGACTTTGAGGGATGTTGGGATAGGGTGAATGTATTTTGCACATCAGAAATATATATACTTCAAGGGGTGTGGGGAGAAGAGAATCTATTGTTATGGGCTGAATTGTATCTTCCCAAAAGATAATGTTTGAGTGCTAAATCCCAGTACCTCAGAAGGTGACCTTATTTGGAAATAGGGTCATTGCAAATATAACTAGTTAAGACAAAGTTACACTGGAATAAGGTCGGACCTTAATTCAATATGACTATATGACTGGTGGTCCTTCTTTTTTTTTTTTTAGATGGAGTCTCACTGTCACCCAGGCTAGAATGCAATGGCTTGATCTTGGCTCACTGCAACTTCTGCCTCCTGGGTTCAAGCAATTCTCCTGCCTCAGCCTCCCAAATAGGTGGGATTACAGGCACCTGCCACCACACCTGGCTAATTTTTTGTATTTTTACTAGAGATGAGGTTTCACCACGTTTGCCAGGCTAGTCTTGAACTCCTGACCTCAAGTGATCCACCCACCTCAGCCTCCCAAAGTGCTGGGATTACAGGTGTGACTAAGCATGCCCAGCCAGTACTGGTGTTCTTCTAATAAGAGGGGAAATACACAGAAACAGTCACGTGACAACAGAGGCAGAGATTGGAGTGAGGCATCTATAAGCCAAGGAATACCAAGGATCCCAGCATCACCAGAAGCTAGAAGAGGCAAGAAGGATCCCCCAGCCTTGAGAGAGGAGCATGGCCTTGCTGACACTTTAAAGTTAGACTTCTAGCCCCAGATCTGTGAGACAGTAAATGTCTGTTGTTTCAAGGCACCCAGTTTGTGGCTTTGTGATGGCAAGCCTAGGAAATGAATGCACTCACTATCCTTCCAAACACTGGAGAGGAACTTCGCCTCTATTCCCTTGTCAGCCCCATAGCCACCTTTGTCCCAGTAGTGCTGGG